TTGGCCTGCCCGGCGTCTGGGAATAACTTTATTTTTTCTAATCCCATAATTAAATCTGTATCAAATTCCATCAAAGACCATCTGCTTTGCCAGAGCCATGTCATCGGTCACCCTGAAATCCAGACGCTTGCCCGGCTTGCCCTGTGGATCGGGGAGGTGGAAACCGCAGTCCAGCCGCAGCTCGGGGACGCTGGCATGTGCCGGGAGGCCGCAGGACTCGCTGGTGAGTGTGGGTACACGGTTTACACAGAGCTCTGTGGGATTCGGGCTCTCACCCCCCCCCAGGGCAGAGCGAGCAGTGAGAGGGAGTTATCACGTTTGTAAAAACACCCACACTTCCCTCCAATCCTCACGACCTCATCACAACTTAATTACATCTGCTAAGGCCCCATTTCCGAGCGAGGTCACAGGTTCCAGGTGGGCGTGAATGTGGGGCGCCCTTCAGCCCAGTGCTGTGTGTCCGTAGTTCGGCTGTATTGGGTCGTGCCCCCCCCCCCGTGGAGTGGCACCTGGCCGCTGCCCCACCCCCAGCAGCCCAAGGGGGCACCTGTTCTCCGCCCCAGCAACACAGTGTGTGGTCAAGCTTGTGACCTTTTGTGAAGCCGGGACGTGGAAAACGGTATCTCGGTGTCTGTTTTTCATTACGGACAAAGCTGAGCATTTTTTCTTACATGTTGATGTGTGTATTTTGTGGGGGGCCCTGTTCGTATCTTTCCCATTTTTCTAAAGGGCTTTGGTACTTTTCCCTCCATTTTTCACACGGAACTCACCCCGGGCTCCCCCTCCATCGTCTTCTGTTGCTCATTTGTCTGACTCGTTTTCACGACCGTTGGACGGAACCGTGGCTCGCACCCGCTCCTCGGGCCCTCGGAGCCCTCGGCTGCTATTTGTGTGGAGTGTTTTAAACATATGGCAGCCTGGCTTCCGAAGGCTCCTGGCTCCCTGTCCGCCTGCAGTTGCATCTGGACCCTCTCTCTCCTATTTCTCAGCTGTCTCCCTTCTGAAAAATGTTTCCTCCGCTCCCAGCAGCTTCTCCTGGCTCCAGGTCCCGCCCTGGAAGAAAGTCCCGGTGGGTCCAACGGGAGAGTCAGCCGGGTCTGAGCAGCGCCAGCCCCTCCCGGCTCCACCTGGGACAGACGGCGGCCGCTCCGCAGCGGAGGCGCAGCTGCACCGGCCCAGATGGTCCTTCGGGGAGACAGGGAAAACCGTGGCCATTTGGGGCCTTTCCTCCGCTGGGGCCACTCAGACGACCTGCCCTCCCCTGCTTTTTCTTGCACAGACACAGAAACACACGAGGCTTTGTGCTCTTGTGGTCGGTTCCGTCCGCTTGTATTTTGAAGTTCTTGCAAATACCCTGTGCCCCGGTTTTGTTGTAAACGGTCTCTGTGGCCATGGGTCTCTCTGTCCAGTGGCTCTGGCTGTTCCTCCAGGGGCACCCAGAGGTGCTGAGGAGCTAGCCGACGCCAACGGCTCTCCCTGGTCTTTAAGAATTCTCTGTATGTTACTGAAATCGGCCCTGCAATTCTAAACTATTATCCTCCAAGTTGTAGGGCCAAATTGTGTTTGATATTGCATATGGTATTTGGGGCACGCATAGGAATCTTTTCAGTATTTATGTGTTGTCCATTTTATGTGTTTCATTCACCTTTTCTTTTTTAAAAATATATCTTTATTGATTTCAGAGAAAGAGAGAAACATCAATGATGAGAGTCATTGATCGGCGTCATTGATCGGCTGCCTCCTGCATGCCCCCTACTGGGGATTGGCCTGAAACCCCAGCAAGCGCCCTGACCGGGAATCGAACTGTGACCTCCTGGATCATAGGTTGACCCTCAACCACTGAGCCACACCTGCCGGGCTCACCTTTTCTTTCATGATGTGGATTTAGAGCCATGAAGAAAAAGCTTCCCCCACCGAGGACCTCACCGGTGGTGCCCGCCCCCCCCAGAACCATGCAACTTCACTGTCCACACTTATATTTCTAGTCCACTTGGAGTTTATTGCTGGGCGTGGGTGAGTGTGGTGGTTTGTTTCAGTGTCACTTATCAGAAAGATGATTGCGTCCCAGCATTTGAAATGCCGCCTGTATCATGTACCATTTCCCATACTCGGGACGCGCTGTTGGCTGGATAACTGGGTGAGTGAAGTGGGCGTTTTAACAGTGCTTGGCCTATTTATACAGCCTTGCTCCCTAACAGGCTGCTGCGGCTCCCGGTGGAGGTTCGATTACGCACAGCGGACGGGACGGTACTGGCAGGAAACCGCATCAATACGGCGTCCTGGACATATTTCCCATTTTCTACATATTCTTCCAACTCTGGCTTATCTTTTGTGTTTTACAAAAATGTAAAATATTGAAAACCCAGACATAGACTGGCTCCTCCGTAAAGCACGTTATGAACAATGAGGATTATTTGTCTAACGGCAGACGCGCCTCTCAGGGGACGTGATCTGGTGGAGCAGCCAGGTTCTGCGACACCCTGAAGCGGCCGACGCCGACACCCTCGCACAGTCTGCATTTCTCTCGTACCCTCGCTCTATTTTTCGGGCCGATATAAATGTGTTGATCATTCGTTTTTAAGAAAAACAGGAAGGGACTCCTCAAAAGCACAGTGCCCCAGGTTTACATTTGAAAAAGTAATTCTGAGGAGGAGGAATGAACTGCCATGAGCCGAAAACCGGGTTGAAATAAGCTGGGAGCTAACTGCTCCACCCTAAGGCCTGTCCATGTCCCCGTGGGGAGGGAAGCTTAAGGTCCTAGGCGGCGCGGCAGCACCCCCTGCTGGGCAGGTCTGCGGGAGCGCCCAGGAGGCCTCCAGACTCTTCTTGACTCACCTGCTTTCAAATGCCCTCTACCTTGGAGAGGAGAAAACTGAAAGTTACTTCCTCAGGGATATCTTAGCTCCAGAAAACATAGGTATAATGTTTGCTTTATCAAAAAGATGTGTCTTAAAACCCTGTGCGAATGAGGGACGTCCCAACCTACCCTTCCTTCACCTGGCTGCTTTCAGATCATGAACAGTAATAGCCATGGGTTAGCCGAGACGCTGGACTCGGACTAATCTCACTCAGTTCTCAGAGCAGCCTTGCAGGGCAGCCCGGATGTTACCTGGTTTCCCAGGT